TCTGATAGGTGTCTGGGGCGGTGTCCCGGGGCGGGGGGGCAGTGGGGACAGAGGGGGTCTGATAGGTGTCTGGGGCGGTGTCCCCGGGGGGCGGGCAGAGGGGTTCTGATATTCATCTTTTTTTAGGAAAAAGAAGAATTTATTCGCTCGAGACTAAAAGCGAAGGGCCTGGGCCTGAGAACTGAATCAGGTGAGTTCGTTTGTTCCTTTTCTTGCCTAAGTAACAGCATGAGGAGCTCAAAAGGAGAGAGTTCAGAGGGCGAGTGGGCGCTTTAACTTTGCGGTAGTGCCGCCTGTTGGTTCTCTGCCCGTTGCAGTGACTTCCTCGTGGGTGTGGCGGGCCTGTAAGTGGGGTGGGCAAGCTCTTCTGTAACCGGCTACAGGGTAAGGGCTAGTCCGGGGGCCGGGGTCTGGCTCCCTCCACAGCTGTGCCGTGTGCCGAGGGGCCAGTGTGTCCAGCAGGCACCGCTGACAGTCCCGGCTGCAGTCGGCAACGCCCCCCCAAACCCACTCTCGGCAGCACAGCCAGGCGTCCCACCCACAACCAGCCGACAGGGCGCCCAGCCGGCTCCATCCCCCGTGACTGCAGGATGACAGCCCCGCCCTCCCTGCCGCCCCCCTGCCGGGCGCTCCGGCCTGGCAGCAAAGGGACCCAGGACACCCGGGCCTCCTGTCCCAGGCCCGCTGGCCCCACCCGGCACCTCCTCGGCTTCCTCCGCCTGTTTATAGCTCCCGGTGCGAGGAAGCAGCCAGCACAGGCTGGCCCTGGGTCAGACCAGTGGGGGGCCCTAGACAGCAGAGGGCCAGGCTGGGGTTGTGTGGAAGGAGCGTGGCTGCTGCCATGGAGACGGGGTTGGGCACAGTGCGAGGACAGCGCCTGACGAACCGTCTGCGTCCAGGAGACAAGTTCAGCACGGACAGCAGGGTGGGGCAGGGTGGGACGGTGGGACAGGGTGGGATGCTGATTTCCAGTAAATGTGGGTGAGTTAGTGGTCTGCCCATCTTTTTTTTAATTTTAATTTTCTTTTTTTAAATATATTTTATTGATGTTTTACAGAGAGGAAGGGAGAGGGATAGAGAGTTAGAAACATCGATGAGAGAGAAACATCCATCAGCTGCCTCCTGCACACCCCCCACTGGGGATGTGCCCACAACCAAGGTACATGCCCTTGACCGGAATTGAACCTGGGACCCTTGAGTCCGCAGGCTGACGCTCTATCCACTGAGCCAAACCAGTTAGGGCCATCTTTTTTTTTTTAATTGATTGATTGATTTGAGAGAGAGAAACATCAGTTAGTCATTCCACTTACTTACTACGCACTCACTGGTTGCTGCGTGTGTGTGCCTTGGCCAGGGACTGAACTGATCTGGGTGTATGGGCGATGCTCTAACCACCGAGCCACCTGCCAGGGCTCTTTTTCTTTTCTTTCTTTTTTAAAGAGCATTTTATGAGTTTATTTGGGCCAAACTGACCACATTGCCGGGAAGTAAGATCTCAAATGCTCTTCTCCCTCTTCCATTTACTCCTCCGTCTTTTGTTCTTCTTGATGCTATTGTAAGTGGAATAGTTTTTCTAGCTTCATTTCCAGGTTGTTTGGTGCTGGTGTAGAGAAATCAGTTGACATTTATATTTTGATCTTGTGTCCTGCAACCTGGCTAGACTTGTTTTTTAGGTCAGTCGTTGTTTGTGGGTTCCTTTCCCTGAAGTATTCGTGTATAAGTTGAAATTTATTTCCAGGTCAAAAGGCAACACTGAATGCAGAAGAAATGGCTGACTTTTATAAGGAGTTTCTAAGTAAAAATTTTCAGAAGCACATGCATTATAACAGGTAGGTGTTTCCTTTTTTCTTATTGCTCCCCCAAGGACATTTTTCTATCGATATTTTAGAGCGAGTGCAAGGGACGGGGAGAGACAGGAAGAGAGAAACATAGATGAGAGAGAGACATCGATCGGTTGCCTCCCACAAATGCCCTGACTGGAATCAGGGATTGAGCCTGCAACTAAGGTATGTGCCCTTGACCAGAATTGAACCTGTGACCCTTCAGTCCATGGGCTAATGCTCTATCCACTGAGCCTCACCAGCTAGGGCTATTAGGTCCTATTGATGAGCAGTCATTCATTATCTCAGATGCAGGGGCGGTATTGTGGTGATGTGTTTTCAGAGAAGGTTTAATGGTACATAATGGTGTGTATTTCAGGTGAAATGATAGGATGTGATGTTTGAGATTTGCTTTATTATTTATTTTAATATACATACTAGAGGCCTGGGGGTTCCCTCAGCCTGGCCTGTGCTCTCTCACAGTCCGGGACCCCTTGGGGGATGTCCACCTGCTGGCTTACATAGGGAGCGGGCCTAAGCCAGCAGGTGAACATCCCCTGAGGGGTTCTTAGCACTGCTGCGGAGGTGGGAGAGGCTCCTGCCACCACTGCTGTGCTCGCCAGCCATGAACCCGGCTTCTGGCTGAGTGGCGCTCCCCCTTTGGGAGCACAGTGACCATCAGGGGGCAGCTCCTGTGTTGAGTGTCTGCCCCCTGGTGGTCAGTGTGCGTCATAGTGACCGGTTGTTCTGCTGTTCAGTTGATTTGCATGTTAGCATCTTATTATATAGGATTTTTTTATTTCAGAGAGGAAGAGAGAGGGAGAGAGATAAAAACATCAATGACACCCTAACTCAGCAGTTCTCAACCTGTGGGCCGCAACCCCTCTGGCGGTCAAACTACCCTTTCACAGGGAGCCCAGTCTGTTTTAAATGTTTTTTACTGATTTTTAGTGAGAGAGGAAGGGAGAGTGATGGAGAGATAGAAATATTGATGAAAGAGGAACATCATCGATTGGCTGTCTCTTGTATGTCCCCCACCGGGGATTGAGCCCACAACTTGGACATGTGCCCTGACCGGGAATCGAACCTGGGACCTCTTGGTTCCTGGGTTGGGCAGAGATTTGCTTTAAAATGTAACAGTGGCGGCACCGCGTGGAGCAGGAGAGGCAGGATCTAAAGCAGTGACGGCGAACCTTTTGAGCTCGGCGTGTCAGCATTTTGAAAAACCCTAGCTTAACTCTGGTGCCGTGTCACATATAGAAATTTTTTGATATTTGCAACCATAATAAAACAAAGACTTATATTTTTGATATTTATTTTATATAGTTAAATGCCATTTAACAAAAAAAAATCAACCAAAAAAATGAGTTCATAGGTGTCATAGGTTCGCCATCACTGACCTAGAGCCTGGTGGTGCCGGCCGAGGCTGGGAGCTGGGAGAGCGAAGGTACCCCTGGTGCCGCGGGTGCTCTGAGCGGTAACGCTGCTCAGCGGACCGGGAGCAACTTTCTCTGGACCTCGGCGTCCCTCTGAGAGCTGGACGTGTGCTGGTGGCTCTCAGGGCGGAGAGGGCCGGAGCCCGCCCGCTGTCCCCGCGGAAACGGAGAGCCCTCCCTTCCTCCCGACACCTGCTTTTCCTGAAGGCAGAACAGCCTCCTGGGATCTGTGTCGTCGTTTCCGGGAAGCCTGGCCCACTCGGGGCCCCGTCCCCCTTCCTGGCACCTGAGGTGGACGGCAGTGTAAAGAGGGTTCTCACCGGCGTCCCTGTGGCTGTCACTCATTCTTGCATCGGCTCATTTGGCGGGAAAGCCTGGCACCTGGCCTCCCTGCCTCCGAGGCTCCGCCGTGAGGTCTGGAATGTGTGTTCCGCTGTGGACACGGTCCAGCTTCGCCACTCGCTGCCCACACTGGGGGCATTTGCAAGTGTGAGGCGTTCTGTAAGTCAGTCGCAGGCGAGCAGGGACCGGGGCCCAGCCCAGTCTTTGTCAGAAGCCGAGGAACTGCCCCTTTAGAGACCCCACTTCCACAGACGCTCAGGCCCCCGGGTGGGGGAGGGCGGGGCTCTGATGCTGGCAGTGAGCGAGCCCCGGCTTCCGACTTCCGAGGGCGGCTCTGCAGGCTTTCGGCAAAACCAGGCGGCCTGCAGGGGCCTCCAGGGTGGGCGCCGAGGGGTTGGCCCTCACTGGCATCCCCGAGTCGCCTATTCTCAGCCTGGGGCAGCCGGGGGGGTGGGGAGGTGTTTAGGGACAGCGTGGCCTTCCTGAGGCCGAGAGAGGAGGGGCCGTCAGGTCACCCGCCTCTCGGTCAGTCCTCAGTGTCCGGCTGGAGTCACCGCTGTCCGTTCCTCCACAGGGACTGGTACAAGCGTAACTTTGCCATCACCTTCTTCATGGGCAGAGTGGCCCTGGAGAGGGTCTGGAACAAGCTGCGACCGAGAATGTATGCCAGATAAGCTCAAGAATGGACTATAAATATAGACTATGAACCTGATATCTTGAAGTAATATTTACTCCATGCATTAAATTACTTGAGGCTGCTTAGCTTTAAGTAATACTAGCTTAGCTAGACTTTTGTGTTCTGTTGCTTTTCTCCCCGGGCCCCGGCTTATGGCAGTGCCAGGCAGCAGGGGGCATGTGGCCCTGGTGCCGGGCCAGGTGGCTCTGTCCCGCCCCGAATCCCGCTGGCCCTGGTCACAGAAGTGACATTAAATAAAGCCCAAGCCCTGTGTGCCTGTGTGTTGTGTTTCGAATTCCTCCGATTTGGAGTAGAGAACAGCGCGGCGGGCCTTCCCCTGACTCCTCGGACGGGAGTGGCTGGCAGCTGCTGCAGGGCCCCGGCCTCAGGGACCAGGGACCCGGGACCACGCCCGGAAATGACGGGAAGCAGGGGCGGGTGCTCCGTCAGGGGCACCTGGGAGAGCTCCCCATGTGCTCCCGGGAGGTGCCCCACCCCCTTTTAAATCTTTTAAAGCCAGCACTGTTGGGGGGGATCACCACTGCAGGAGGGGACACGTGCCTGGCAGCCAGGCCACATTCGTAAGCGAGCCACTTGGCTAACAGACGGCTTCTGTTGTTTTTTAATGTTTGTACTGATTTCAGAGAGAGGAAGGGAGAGGGAGAGAGAAACATCCATAAGAAACATGGACCCGCTGCCTCCTGCACGCCCCCTACTGGTGATGGAGCCTGAAGCCCGGGCATGTGCCCTGACCGGAATCGAACTGGTGACCTCCCGGCGTCTGGGTTGGCGCTCAGCCACTGAGCCACACGGCCAGGGCAGGGCTCTCTTCTTGGATTCTAAACATTTAAGATTAAATGACTAGGGAGCCCTGCCCAGTTTGGCTCAGTGGGTAGAGTGTCAGCCTGCAGACTGAAGGGTCCCAGGTTCGATTCCGGTCAAGGGCATGTACCTTGGTTGTGGGCACATCCCCAGTGGGGAGTGTGCAGGAGGCAGCTGATCGATGTTTCTCTCTCATCGATGTTTCTGACTCTCTATTCCTCTCCCTTCCTCTCTGTAAAAAATCAATAAGATATATTTAAAATAAAATAAAAAATGACTGGAAATGTCACTTTAAGTTGCAAATAAAAGGAGAACAAATTGTAAGTAATGTTATTCTGACCCTGAAATGTGTATGCTCAGGCCGCCGGGCCGGGTGGTGTGAGGCGATTCCCTGTCACAGCCGTGGGCGGGGGAGCATTTCTGGGGGCTACCTCAGGGGGGCACCCTTCCCCCAGAAACCTCTGTGATACAGGTAATGCTTCCGTGAATATACCAGGAGAGGCCCCCAGACACCGGAATGCGCACTTTAGTGGGTGAATTGTGTGTATGAATTACAGCTCAACAAAGCTGTTTAGCGAACAAGAGTGCTTTTGTGTATGTGCATAAAATCTCATCTTTTTAACTTTAAAAATAAATAAAAGAGGCTTCATTTCTTATGTGCAAAGGAAAAGATAACGCTCTGTTTCTGAATTAAAAGTAAAATGAAGGCGAGTCTCTTCCTCCTGGTGCTGGGCCGAGTGCGGGCGCTGGTGTTTTAGCTGCTCTCCTTCGCTTGCGGAGGGCCCCGCGGGGCGCCCTCAGGAGGGCAGGGGCACCCGGGCCCCCCACACCGCCCTGACGCTGCTCTTCCCTTGTGGTGGTTTTTTAAAATGTATTTTTATTGGTTTCAGAGAGGGAGGGGGGAGAGAGAAACATCAATAATGAGAGAATCATGGATCGGCTGCCTCCTGCACGCCCTCACGGAGGTTCGAGCCCACAGCCCAGGCACGTGCCCTCACCCCCTTGACCAGGAATCGAACTGTGACCTGAAGCCGCGGGAGCTGCCGGGGGGCTGCAGGCCTCTGCTGGTCACTCACCGTTCCTGGGAGGGGTCAGCCCGGGTGCCCGCAGGCCCCACCCACTGGGGAGGAGCAGGGAGCGGGTGTAGGAACCTGACCCCTGTGCAGGGCAGCCCTCCCTCGGAGCGAGGTCACCCCAACAGACATGCCAGGCCCGGAGGCCCAAATGGAGAAGACGTGTGTGTGTGTGCGTGCGTGCGTGTATGTGTGTGTGTGTGTGAGAGAAAATGCACGTGAAGTCCTCCCTTCTGCGTGTGCAGCTCCACGGCCCTGAGCGCGTTCACACTGTGCAGCCGTCACCACCATCATCTCCAGAACGTTTAGTGTTCCCAGACTGAACTGTGACCCCTTACACTCCAGCCCCTCCCTCCTTTTTTTGGCCCGGTCCCGTCATTGCGGTACCTTTTCCCTCGGAGCCTCCCAGGCCTCGGACCCGGAGGTGAGCCTCGCGCTGCTGCTTCACTCCCTGAGCAATGCTCTCCGCACCACCGCACCCGCCCTGCTCTCACGCCGCCTCTTGGGCCACCCTGCCGTCTCGTGCCCCTGCCCGCCTAGTGGGGCAGCCTTGCTGGGCAGTGTCCCTGCTCAGAAGTTCTGCTCACCCCCCTGTCTTCCAGGAACGTCATTTCTTCCCTTTCGTGCCAGGGGACATGACCGATCCACGTTCCGAAACGCCCGACTGCTCCTGGCCACGCCTGTGAGCGCTGGCGACGGGCCTGCACTTGTACATCCTCGGGGTCTCCACTGTCCCGGCGGAAAAGCCCCCTCAGAGCTGAGGGAGGAGGGGCTGCTGGAGGGCGAGGTCTTCCGTCCAGGGTGGTTTCCATCCAGGTATTTGGGGTTATAAGCTCCCCTGGGTCCCCCTTTAGCCCCCCCCAGCACACACCCCCAAAGACCAGTTTCCCATCAAAGCACTCAGGTTGACGCGGGTGGCAGGTGGCAGGACTAACAAGGGCAGAGCCCAGGTGGGGAGGCCTCAGGCTGCTGGTCTGTTCCTTTATCGCTGCCTCTCCCCCGCGCTGAGCACCCACCAGCCACGCTGGGCAGATGGGCAAACCGCTGGCGCTGGCTGTGAAAGGCCGGTCCATCTGCCAGGAAATCCCGTCCTGAGAGCAGCCGCCCTGCCCGTCCTGGGTGCTGGCGGGGCCCAGCAGGACGCCTCGCCGTGGCCGGGACCTTGCTTCCCGTGAGAGCGGGACCCCCATCCGCACAGGTCCTGCTCCCCTGGGTGCAAATGAGATAGGATCTGCCCTGGCCAGTGTGGCTCAGTGGATAGACTGTCGGCCTGCGGACTGAAGGGTCCCGGGTTCCATTCTGGCCAAGGGCATGTGCCGGGTTGTGGGCTCAATGCCCAGTGTGGAGGGTGCGGGAGGAGCCGATCAATGGTTCTCTCTCTTCACTGACGTTTCTCTCCCTCTCCCTTCCGCTCTGAAATCATACAAAAAACGTATTTTTAAAAAGATGGGCTCTGACCAGCTGGTGGTGGAGATGCAGGGCTCAGGGGCCACCGGGGGCCATAACTGCCCAGCCCAGAGGACGTGGCCTCCGACTGTGGGCAGAGCCGAGCCTGTCTGTGCCCCCAGCCTCTCCCTGCCCTGGCGCCGCACGCTGCCCGGCCCCGGGGCCTTGCAGGAATAAGCGTGTGAGTGAGCGCGGCTGTGGCTCCGGGACCCTGGACCAGGTCACAACGGGGAGAAGCCTTCCGTCTGCCCAGTGACCTCGGGGTGTGCGACAGCTCCATCCCCGCACGAGCTTCTGCTAGATGCCTGGCCTGCAGGTGCCATAGGGGTCTGCTTCTGTGGTCCAGAGCGAGAGCCCCGAAGGTGTGAGCGTGGGCGGGGCGGGTCCCCCCAAAGGTGTGAATGTGGGCGGGGCGGGTCCCCCAAAGGTGTGAGCGTGGGCAGGGCGGGTCCCCCCAATGTGTGAGCGTGGGAAGGGCGGGTCCCCCCAAAGGTGTGAGCGTGGGTGGGGTGGGTACCCCCCAATGTGTGAGCATGGGCGGGGTGGGTCCCCCCAAAGGTATGAGCATGGGCAGGGCGGGTCCCCCCAAAGGTATGAGCGTGGGCGGGGCGGGTCCTCCCTAATGTGTGAGTGTGGCCTGGGCGGGTTCCCCAGAAGGTGTGAGCGTGGGCAGGGAGGGTCCCCCCTAATGTGTGAGTGTGGCCTGGGCGAGTACCCCAGAAGGTGTGAGTGTGGGCCGGCGGGTGGGGGTGGGGGCCCGGGACAGGGCAGCCAGTCCAGGAGAGGATTTGCGAGGCTGTGTCCCTGCGAGGCAATGTAAACTCTCTCTTAGCCCTTTTTTTAATACATTTTTATTGATTTCAGAGAGGAAGGGAAAGGGAGAGAGAGAATCAGTGATGAGAGAGAATCATTGATCAGCTGACTCCCGAGTGACTCTCCCTCTCCCTTCTTCTCTGAAATCAATAAAAATGTATTAACAAAAAGAATCGGACTTTGCAGATGCCATTACTCAGGGAATCAGGATGAGAGCAGCCTGGATTCAGGGTGGATCCAGAGACCCTGGGAGGGAGGCCCCGGGAAGGGGGGGCCAAGGCTGGAGTCACGCATCTCCAGGCCCAGGACTCACCTGGTGGAGCCCCCGGAGGCGGGAGAGGCCGGGAGAGGCCGGGACCAGGCTCTCGGAGCCCCGGAGGGAACGGCGGGCCTCGGTCTCCGACTCACCTCCAGGCTGTCTGAGAACAGCGTCTGTGAGCCCGTGGTACCCGGCCAGGAGTCACCTCAGAGCTGTGAGCAAGCAGGAGGCACGGAGGGCACTTGGGGATTGGGTCGGTCGATGAGCGGTCCTGGAAAAGAACAGGATTTGTGTCTGATGGGTCAGCAGCTTCTGGAATGAATCAATCGATGGAAATTTCCGGAAGCCCTGCTAAAAGCCTCTGCCTGAACCTACTCCCCAGGGCCGAGAGCATGGGCAAAGCTTCCATCTCATTTACTGCGGCAAAGTGGGCACTGGGTGGGGTCCAATGGCCACGTCAGAGCTGAGGCCTAGCGGCCTGTTTCCCCTTTCATAGCCTCAGTTTCTCCGTCTGTAAAATGGGCGGGGCGGGGGAAGTGGGTGTGAGGTGCTTTGTGACTGTGTCAATGCCAGGGACCAGGGCGGCTCGTGGTCACCGAGTTGAGTTTCTGTGCAGACGGGTTTCCAGGTGCTGACAATGGGTAGAAGCTGAGGGCGCCATGAGGCTCAGCTGGACCTGCCCAGCCAAGTCCAGGTGAGGGGCTGACCTGGGCACCCTGAGGCTGGGCTTTCCCGTTCTAGCCCTCTGCGATGGCACATGCACCTGTGTGCTTCCCTAGTCAGGCCTGCCTCCTCCTCCAGGCTGCCCTCCAGAGCTGAGCAGAGCCTGGCACAGTTGGCAGCTCTTTCAGGGCACTGAACACCTGCAGGGCTGAGAGCCTTCCTGTGGGCGGGCGGCCAGCTCTGCCTGCTCCAGGGTCTCCTCAGGCCTGGCCTCCCCCCTGCACAGGTGGTGGGCAGGGCAGAAGCTGCTCGAGTGGCTGGAGCCTGCTGCCTCTGGGAGGAACCTCTGAGTCCACCTTTAGTTT